TATTAAAAAGCTAATACTTATTAAAAGTATTTTTATCCCTGGTATATTTTTACAACGTTGACGTCATGAAATGTTCCAGTTTTCCCAAATTATGAAAAGATGGATTAGTAAAGAATGGTATTTGTATAACACCTACCTTCCTTAAAAAACAACAAAATTGCCAACACAATGGAGTCTTAAAAGGAATAATAGAAGACTATTGTAATTGTAATTTGTTATTTAATGACCGACTTATATAACCAATTTTTATCATAAAACACCAATGTGAATACTGTATTGACTTTATTGAAGATATTCATCATTATTTCTTTGTTTGTTCAAAATATACCTCTCCAAGAAATGTTTTTTTCCAAACAATCCAAATATAATTGATTATGATCTGATTTAAACTTGATTTACTAGAACATGGCCTTTGAAAACCGGGAGGGTATAAAGTAATCGGGATGTCCGTCTGTCCGTGTGTCTTTCCGCGTGTCCGTCTAGTTTTTTGTTCTTGTTTCTTTTTTATGTTGGTTTATTGTTTTAAACCTATACAGTGTATATGTGTGTGTGTGTTTACCTTGACCTTGTAGGGAGAGGGCAAAAAAAGCTTTGCGTGATGCCCAATCCCATTCACTTTATTAGTGAATAAAATTTTGTATAAATGAAAAATATTAACTGTTATTTGGATTTTTTTTTATTCTTTTATCATCTTTTTTAATAGGACCTTGTACTGAAAATAAAAACATATTTTATATTACCTTAAACGAGAAGAAGTCTCTGGTACAGCTTGATAAACCAAATGAAAAAAATAAATTATAAGATTAACAAAGATAAGCATCTTTGAAGGAATTTAGGTTAAAGTGAAGAAATAAACTTTTGAATTCTAACTTCAATTTATATTTTCATATCGATCAAGGCTTTACTGTATTTCTCTTTTTACAGTATATTTTAAGGGTACATTTGCAAACTTTAATATAATTGAAAACAACATAGATAAAATATCACTTATCATGAAAATAAAGGTTGATTTAAATATTCTTGTTTAAACTTTTTATGACACTAATATTTTAAGAAAACGATTAAATATGTGGTTTAAACTATTACCTTTTTCTTCAATGGATATTCTTCATCTCTTCGCTCAACCTATTATGTTAATGCAAAAGGAATGCAAGAAAATGGGCACCATATACAATTGTACACATCTAATTTTTAACTTTATAGGTTTCTCGTCTGCTTACCTACACCTGTTGCACGTGACAATCCGGGACGCATATCTTTTCTATATTAAAATTATGTAATGTCTGAAGCCTTTAGAACAAAGAAGATGTCTATTTATCATTACAGTGTTTGATACTAATATATTCTACAAAGTTCTCAACAGCTACTCTATTTGAATAATGTATGTCTTTCTCGAACGAGCAAATTGATCCTGTCAAAATTTGAACGATGAAAAAGTAAATGCTCTCCTATAAAATTGATGGATTGTTATTATATCAATATCTTTAAAAAGATTATTTTATCAGTTATCCAGTGGCACTTAAGTATGAGATCCTAAACTGAAAAAAGCCAATCATCTTTTGCAGATAAAAGTCAGGCCATTTTTCTGCTCCTCAAACCCGGAATAGGGTAACAAATAAACTTTTTAAAGCAGTGCTTCAAGGACTTTTCTGAAGTACATGAAGTACGTGTAACTAAAATTAAACAGTTTGACATAAATATATCCAAAAAGCAACTGAAAACACCATTAAAGGGTTATATTATTAGTTAAACGTTTATCGAAAAAATGCAGGCTAATGAAGTCATTTTATATGATCGCTTAATTAATTTTTTTGTATCTCTAGATAATAAATTTTCTTTGACACTCGATTTGCATGTTTTGAACCTGATTCAAGCGGTTCATTTCCACCATTACATGCTTAGATGGACTCTTTCCATTTTTTTCTATTTATATATTCATTTTTGTCTATTTTTGTTTCCAATAGCAATAATTAAGTGTACATAAATCATGAAGATATAATTCACATTTTGTTCCGTATTTGTATCCAAGCAGTTTTTATAGTCTAAAGGCAAATTAGATATGTGATGAATTAAAGATTAAAAAAAAAGGGTTGTCACATTTATCAATAAAGTAAAGCTTTCAGTTTGCCATAAATGATTTTTCTATTCATATATACGAGGATAAAACACGTACAAGTGTATCTGACTCATAGGTATCTTGTTTCCAATGAAGTGGGATATATCAAATCATAAAGGAAAATAATTATTCTACGGTAATAGTGTCATTAATATATCTAAATTTCGAATTGAAAATCACAGAAAGTGGAATTTTCATATAATTTCTGCTACAACGACAGTTATGTTAGATATGATAAAGGAAAATAGTTGATACACGTGGAATGAAAAAAAAAAAACTTGGACGACATAGCATCCAAATAATACATTGGTACATGTATATACTTCCATAATAAATGTGGTTGACGTAAAAGAAAATTTTATTTGAGATGCATGCATAAGTGCATTCATGTCATGTTTTATATGCGTTTCTACTTGTTCTAACTGCGATTTGTGATATAAAAGGTGTATACAATAGAAGTTTATCTTTTTAGGCACACCAACAAATTAACCTCATTAACAAATATTTTCAATCAACTTCACAATAATGACGTATGTCTAGTAGGCGTGTTATATACGCATCTATCTTTGTTGCATTTATAAAAAAATATTTTTAAAAAAATAGTTTTTCCTTCCTTGTCAAAATGACAGAAGGAACATATCTTAATGTAAACTAACCTATTAGATGCTAAGGTCATACAGGACGATAGGTAAGATATTTGTCTTTTAAAGTCTGAATCACTATAAAGATAAAATGCTATATACAGCTGTATTATTTTTTTTTTACATATTCCACTGACAAAACCCGAAACATTGTATATGTTATATTCGCTTAAAAAATCAATCAGTGCAAAAATGCTATATAAGGACATGTATTGAATGGTGTATAATGTAACAACCCATCTTGTGACTGAGACATTAGATTAATGGACTCATTTGAATATCCAGTGATCACCATTTCTAAATTACTAATGATAAGGCAATAAAATGTACTTATTACAGACAAGTTTATGATTCCAACAAGATATACTAAAAGGAAAAAGAAACGCAGGGTAGCATATTATTCGAAATTTTTTTTTGACCGCATGACCGAAAAATACAAAAATTGATCAGATGAAAATTTCAGTCACTATGCACCAAAATCAGTGTTCAGAATTACCCTACCGTAAAATGTATGACGTCAAGTAGGGAAAACGCTTAAAAAAAACAAAAACACGTACAATTTGATGACGACGAGTTTGTCAACAGATCTTGCTGCACCATTTGATGCACCTGATATACACATTGCATTTCAATATTTAAAAATGATATGAATTTCTTGCAATCCTGGTACAGTTTACAGAAGTTCCATGAGGTCTGGTTTTCGAATTGCCTAATCAATGAAAATGGCAACAACTTGTTTCTTGTACATTCATCCCCATAAAACGTGTTACCCGTTTTCAGAGAGGGGCTCGAATGGTTTTCAGTCAACCCTGACGATGGCGTTTATTTCGAGAAACAGAGTCATGTTAAGAGTGACTTACATGTATTTACCCTACCACCTCTTTAATCACCTTACTACTCAAAAACCGCTATTAATACAGTAGACGACTATTATAATCATTACATTTACACAAAAATTAAAAGAAAACAATTGATCAATTTGTTTGTTTTTAAGCCCGTCAACTTAGTTTTGCGTTCCTCTCATTCGCTCGTCGTTTGACTAATTTTTTGGCGTAGTTACCCACGCCCAATATATCCACGGCTTGAAAGAAAAACACTTTGAGGAATTCCATGTAAAGGGAAATCAAGGTTGTGACAGGTGTGCGAGTTAGACATTGAAGATAATGAAAGTTTTCAAGTATCACTTTTGGGGGTATTGTCAAATGAGTTTCAATAACTCTTGAATGATAAGAAAAAATCAAATGAGATTCGGGTTGACATATCTTCTTGAAAGCTGATTTTCAAAGTTATATAAGAATACTGAAAAATAAAAATAAAAATAATTTCAAAATTCACCTCAAAAGTTTAGCCTGCGTTTCTTTTTCCTTTCAGTATACATTGACCATGTGTCAAATATTTTAACCAAGTAAAAATAAATAGATTTTTTAAGAGACAAGCATATAACATTTTCTCTGAATATTTTTTATCTTAACATTTTACTTTATAATATGCAATTACGTACCTATTTTCCAAAACCAGACATTGTTTTTGTTCCGAGAAAAGGTTATAAGCAACCATACGCCGGATCCCTATGGTGCCCAAATGTCTCTGTTTTTTCCTTGAGCGGAAACTAGATGCAACAAAGTAATGTTTGAATTCTTTTTGCGCCAACAGTTTATGTATAGAGAGTTTTCCGTGTATTTGGGAAACGTGATAAGATATACAGTGTTCGCAAAGTTTCAACATGCATTGTGTATTATATAATAATAAAACCATCGTTTTATTACTTAGAGTCTGTTCGATGATGATAGTCAGAATTGCTTAAAAACAAAATTATTCACTATTGCATGCTTCTTCATAAGTGTATTTAAAGTTCGAAAAGGCAGATCATCATCACATGCCAGTTTCGCTTATGATTATCACTGCCTAACTTACTATTGCTTAATTCGTTAAACATGCGAAAACGATTAACATAAATTTATCACAACTTTTTATATGTACATATATCATATAGATGGATATAAAGGATCTCCAAGAGATTTTGAATAGAAATACATTTATCCAATAAATTGTGTGTGTTCTACCCCGAACTTAAAATTCTAAAAGTATACTCTTTCAATTGCTTTTGTCATCAATAATAGTGAATATTATGTAATCAGCAATTTATAAATCACATAAACTAATAGATCCTTGAAATGCTCCATTTCATTTAAGATATTTTAGTGAATTATATTTATTTATTATGTTTCATTTATTTCATGTTTCAGTAATGGAAGGTTTGCTAAGATGGACGTTACTTGCTGCTTTTGTATTATTTAAGTCTTCACCTTCTATTTGTAAGTATAAGTAGAGTTAAGTACTAGTTTAATTACCTCCCACATTGATTAATATAAACCTATTTCTTAGATTTCACTGTTGCGAGGAAAAAAGCAAAAAATTTCAATAATGAATATGGGTCCACTTATGGATTCAAAGGAATCCATAGGTGGAGCCATAAAGTGATTGGGGATATGATTCTTTATTTCCTATATAGCTTGTAACACGAGCTTTGATTGGTTACAAAGTCGGTTGTAAATTTCTTTACACCCGACTTGAGCCAGGTGTAAATAAAACGTGACGTCACAATGCATAGTTTTTCTATAATACAAAGCAAATGACATGACGTCACGAGGCATTGTAGTACGTAGTAAATCTCAGCGACAGGTTGAGACACAGTCGATTGGATTTATGTTTACAAAGAATTTTTATGGATACATAGGAAATAAATTCGTTATCCAGGTCCAATCAAGGGTGTACGGGGATTTACCCCGGGTTGTATTCCATACACCCTTCGGCCTTCGGCCTCAGGGTGTATGGAATAAAACCCGGGGTAAATCCCCGTACACCCTTGATTGAACCTGGATAACTAATAATACTGAATAAGGATGCTTGTTTATTACATTTTCACTTGTGAATTACTGTAATTTATTCACTGAATAAAAATGATATCCTGTCACTGTGTGAAACAGGATTTTTTGACATTTTCACTCGTGCTTCGCACTCGTGAAAATATCAAAACTGCTGTCCCACTCGTGAAATGAATTCCATATTCAACTACAAAACATTGAATATCCTCTATATATTTGTTTTAGTAACTGTGTTTTTTTTACCCTTTAAGTTATAAAGTGCACTTTGGTTAACTATAACACCACCACTAAAAATCTAAATCCAGCATCTAAGAGAGAGTACCTAAGACTTCCGGAGAGAAAATATGAATTTTTTTACTTTATATTTCGCCGTTCAATAGGTAATGCTAACTCCTCTTTAGCACCCAAACTCATTCCTGATGTTTTGGGGGACCGTTATGCTCTGCTCCCTATTTTTATGACAATTGATGGACTTCTGAGCTCGAACACCGTTCGTTATTTTCAGATATTTTATCCAGCGTAAAACTCTGATTGTCAATTGATCCCCCTGCCTACCCAAGGGGGTCCTGATTTGAACACACTTGAATCTACATTATCCGAAGACGTTTCTATATACTGGTAGATTTGATTAATTCTGTGTTCATGAAGAAGATTTTTAAAGATTTACCCTATAAATTTCTTTGAAAAACATTGATCATCCCTTGTGGAATAACCCTTCCCCAAAGGTTATGGTTTGAACAAACTTGAAGTTACACTACCTGGAGTTGCTTCCATACAAATATGACCAATCATGGCTTTGCTGTTCTTGAGATAGAGATGTTACACATTTCTTCCATATATTCATATGTAAAATTGTTATAGTCCCTTCTGACCCAGGACTAATGAAAGGGTCCTTATTTTGAATCTACCTACATGAGAATGTTTTCCATCTTTCATTTTTCGTGGCACATTAAGTTGTTTTTGAGACGAATTTTTTTTTGAAATGCAACCACTTTTTTTTCTCTTTTTCTGAATTATCTTCGATTCCCTTCTCTGATGGCCTGGTCCTTCACATATTTGAATCCTCTTTATCCCAGAATGTTTCGTGGCAAGTTGAAATTGGCCAAGTGATGATGGAGAAAAGGAACTCGTTAATCTTAATTTTTTTTCATTTTTATATCTCTATTTATACTTGTACTTACATAATTATCTTTATCCTTGTTATGTCTATGGCACATATATCAAATTTAAAACAGTGCGCTTGTTTTTGTTGTAATGGTTCTCAACAGACTTATAGAGTAAATAGAAAAGGTAAGTTAAACTGTATAATTCTTATGACCTTTCTGTTTATGAAATTGGAAATGTATACAATATATGTTATATTCAAACAAAAATTAATTAATTAATCATAACCTGGAGAGTAATAATCAGATCTCTTCTGTGTATATTTCACAAAGCTGGCGAAGAATCAACGACTCTGCGACAAAGAACAACAGATACTACCGGAACGACCACAAACACAATCCCTTTTGCAGAAATAAGTATGATATTTCGTTTTCTTTACAAAACAGGCACGTAGCATCGTTTTTGAAAGTGGGGGGGGGGGGGGGTAACCAGAGAAAATTTTTTTTACTTACCTGAAAAAGTTGACAATGAAAAAAAATCAAATGGCCTAAACTCGAAAATGCTATTTTGGGAGGGGGGGGGGTAGTGGCTAACTATTTTTTCAAGGCCAACTTCCTTTCACTTACATTTTTTCCAACAATACTACATATTCTTCATATCATTATTCTATGGGAAGAAGTGGGAGCAACCAACCTTTCAATAGACATTTTCAATAGTAAAGTTAATGTTGGGGTAAAAAGTGGGGGGGGGGTAGCCCCCCCCCCCCCCTGTTGCTACGTCCCTGCAAAAAGTTACATGATCGATGAGGATCATTTTTATTTACTAAATACCAGTCCCATAGCTATATTTTTTTGATAAACAACCGAAATCACCAAATTTATGTATATCGATTTAAAAATACATATAGCTTTATCAGCAAAATTTTACGGTTTTATGTACATTGACTTGATATGCCCTTTTAAAGGCAGAGATTTTAATCGCCGCCTTAAAAAATCTGGTCTGTCAAACCATGTCAATCAAGTAAAGTGTGGTACATCACTGAGTGCTAGAACTTGATTGACACAGTTAAATTGCTTAGCGCCTCAGTTAAAAAATAAGCACAATAGTTCCGCCACACTTAAAATATTGGCGCCACAAATAACACTTGAACTAAATAAACCCCTCCCTCACATTGAAATTACCACCCTAACAAATGCCTTTCAAAGACCTTTTCAGAGAAGTTTTTCAAACATGTGTAAAAAATTTAAAGTGTATTTTTCTGTGTATATTTCATAAAGCTGGCAAAGACGTGGAACCAAAAACAACAAATACCGCCGCAATGATCACAGATATTATGTCTTCAACAGAGATAAGTAAGTGTTTTGAGTTCGTTTTACGAAAAAATATATGTTTTTAAACTTTATTTATCTATTTACTGAAAGAAGTTATTAAATTCAGTGGTATTATTGTTCTGTAAGTTTTTTTAAGGAACATTTCGCTATTAATAGAAGTCACGTGATGACGTGGTGATGGTACAGTCTTCACCTTAGACACTTTTTTAGCTTGATGCAAAAGTATACGGGAATGAAACGGGTACTAAAATAGCCAATTTATGGTTCCCCGACGGAGGAAACTATTTTCCCGAAGCGGCGAAGCTGATGATGAATTCAATAAATGAGAAATGAAATAGAGAAAACTTTCTATTAACAAAATAAGCCTAATTTTTTTGCAAAAAATGTACTTACAAAATTTTCATTATAAAACCTAGAGAATACCTATAAATTTATTTTTTGTATGTTTCTGGTCCTAAAACCTTTGATGCCACAAAATACACCAGAAATGTTTTTGTTACGTACTTTCAATTAATAATAGAAAACATACAAGTCAAGGATAAGTAATACAGGAAAAAAAGTTTCCTTCTTCGGAGGTCATGCATGGAAAAAATAGAGGTATATTAATTAATCTTAGATTATGTTTTTTATTAGCGGCTCTGGTAAATTTTTAGACTTTCTCTATTATTCTATTTTTTTCAACACATTTCATTTTATGCAGAACATCAATTATCTCTATTTAATGACAGAATAGTGCATTTATATACTTATAAGCGAGAGAGGGGACTGATTGATCGAATGATTGATTTTATATTGTTTAAGTCCCTCTCGAGAATTTTTCACTCATTTAGAGACACCACCATTTGCTGGTGGAGAGTTGCAAATTTCATCCTATACGCGGCAAGTAGGGCCATTAAGCAGAGATGGATCTTTTGCATGTCAGCACCTACTTAGACGCGGGACCTTGAAATAGAACAATTCCTGAGGCAGAGAAAGCCAGAAAATAAGAGCATACATATGTATGCCATTGGCATTGCACTTAGGGATTTGAGAGAAGTAAATGGTATTTCTAAACAACCGGCCAATTTGAATGTTTATGCAGTTGATTACTTTGATGATCTGGAAACTTTAGATACAAAGTACTTTGATTTTCATACAGACGGAATACATTTTATTTCACATATTTATTAGAATTTCTCCATTTTGAAAGTACATTAACATGAATACGTGTAATAAAGAAAAATACGATAAACCATTTTCTTCGTTGAAAAGTTGAATTGTGCATCAAAATATGTTCTCGATGTATCATGTTATTTGTACATACTTTAAACTATCCTCCAAACCTTTCCCGAAAAAAAACCTTACTTGCATGACTTTCCCATAGTGTGAAATTTAAAAAAATGTGGCACTTGGTAGCAAATAGGCGTAGGGCTGTTAAATAGCAAAGTGTAAAAATTTTTATGTTATGAGTGAATTAATTATTACGACATTAGTCACAGCAAAATCATGTAAATACGAGTGTTCATGACTTTGGAGTTTTTTACTGGTCTACATATGAAATGAAAAAGGTGAAGACTACGACCAGTCATTGACCTAAAAATGTACAAAACAATACCTACTGCATGTATACAATACAATTTGTGACCAGGAAAAAAAAACAGAGAACCATGGGAAATTCAGAGATAGGATCAGGTGCACATAGGAGGAGTAACCATTCCTTTTGGACCGGTCACACTGTGAGCCCTATGTATTGATCAGGTATCGTCGGAACACCCCTTTGTCAAATTTAGTGCGAAATCAAAGGCTTAAGTACTTATTAAACCTGCAAAAAAATCCAAATGTGCAGTATATAAGGAAATTATCAAACCTTCATGCTGTGGTAAATATCTATATTAATTCTTACTATTGTAAACTTGATTCTAAATTAAGATCCTCACTCCAAACATACTAAATAAACATCAAAATTGTATTCATGTGTGACCCCCCCCCCCCAAAAAAAAAAAATAATACGAGTTTATTTTGGGTCATACTCTTGATAATGCATAATTTCTGCCCCAGGGTTCATGTATCTATTTAATTGCTATTATATTTTATTCAGGAGGTAAGATCGGCACAGGAATCGCAGGATTAATTTATGCAAAGCAATCTCACCGATTTTTTTTTTTTGGGACGCACCGTATTTATGATTTTCAACGGTAAAATAAATATACACTCTAAAAATGTTGTTCAGGTGACACACACTTCGTTTTTTCTAGAACAATACTATCTAACCAAGGCCAAAATGTACGAATAATAACTTCTATTATAGAGTCAAAAAGTTTAATAGGGACCATGGCTTGAGATATGATTTTAAATCACAGTACTTACTTTCACACACTTACAGTTCATATGATATAAAACACATTTGCATGCAAGTACAAGTATTCATATACTTATAATAGATTCTAAGAAAGCTTTACAATTCTGTAAAAAAAATAATAAATAAATAAGCTGTGAAATTTAACCTGGAATATAATGGGAATACATTAATTTTAATTATTAGAGGGGGGCTGACAAACAGACAAACGAGTTTCGTAAAAAAGCCAGGAAAACGTCGTCAGATTCTTCGGACTACGTGCAACGCAGTGACGACATCTCTTTCTCTCTCTCTCTCTCTCTCTCTCTCTCTCTCTCTCTCTCTCTCTCTCTCTCTCTCTCTCTCTCTCTCTGTGTGTGTGTGTGTGTGTGTGTGTGTGTGTGTGTGTGTGTGTGGAAAGGCATTTTGTTGATTAAAGGAAAGATTGAATTATAAATATGCTTGTATCAAATATGCTTTTATCATAAATATACTTGTATTTTTTTTTTTTTTCATTTTAAATAGTAACGATAATTTTAACTTTTTAAAATTTTTTTAATTACTAAATACTTGTTCTTAACTACATGTAGAAATGACACAAATTCGACAGGGATCTTTAAAACAATGGGTGCGCGCAATCGGGGCGCTGAGCAAACGTCAATAACTACATGTGCATAATATCTCTTCCAAAGCTATAGAAAAATCTTTTTTTATGTTGATGGCTCATATTATGTTGAACATTAACTTTTCTTTATAAGTAAGTCATTTTAAAAAATTAATCTGTTCCAAGTATCAAAAGAATCAGTTTGTTTTACACTGCGTTTATGAAAAATTTCATTGTGCATGTAAAACGTCATATGACGTCATAGTGCATTTATGTGTTTTACTCGTAAAAGATCCAGTTTTCAACATCAAATATCTCTGTAACGAATGCATGTACCTTAAACAGTTTGTAATAAAGAATGTAGGGAAAATTCCAAACATTCGGGTTATGGCATTTTTAAAATTTTTATTTTGTGTTGAAATTTAGATAAAGGTAACAGAAGATAGCACAAAATCAGTCATTTATGCGTAATTTTATCAACTTTCGAGTAGGATATGCAATATTGACTTCAAGTTTACGATAATTTCTTAGCGTCATATAGAAAAACTTTGTGTAGCAAAAGTGTTCAGTTTCTTCTCTAGTTTACGAAAATATCAACTGTTTTGTTGTATCCCAATTATTTACGAAACGCTAGCTGTTAAATATCCGTGATGCTGAAAAGGCGTCAAAAGGCGTCTCTGGGCGTTAAAGGGTTAATCTAAGTTTATGTTTTATCGGCGGATTTTGTTAATTATCAGACATTGTTTTATTTTATTTTTCCAACACATTTCATTTTATGCAATACCAGCGGGATTGACTTCGCGACCCTAGAGCAGACGTTCTAGGTGTTCAGAGGCTTCGAAATAATCAATATTAAAATATTTCATATCATGTTTGTGCAGATTACATTTAGTAAAGTTTGCTTTTTTAATTTTCCTAATTTACCTCAGAAGGGGGTCATATTTATTACACACATGTGTAAATATCGAAAGCATTCCACTTACACGTGTACTTTATCTTAAATGATAAGTCATTATTGACTTATTATTTTCATCTTGCAAATATTATGTACATTCCACATGTGGTATTGATGTTTTCGTAAGAATATATGTATACTTTGACATTCGGGGATATTTCAGTGAGTATCATTAAAAGAAAGATTTTTAGAAAGAAAGAAAGAAAAGTTTTGCATTTTCTGTCTATCATTAATTTTCCACAATTATCCCATAGTGATTACTACAATTAAAATCTGCAGAGTGTTACTTTATGCGCCAATAAATTACTTCCGAAATACCCTTTTTATCCATGTAATATGTAAATGTGTTTTATTTGTTTAGAATATCCATTAAAAGAATCCAATAATGACATGTACGAAACTTCAGTGAAATTACATATTTCTACCTTATCATAGATCAGTGTGTTCCAAAAATGGATATAGTTTTCATCCTGGATTCATCTACTTATGATAGTAATTATAACAACATGAAATCATTCGTAAAAAAGTTCCTTCAGACTGCTAAAATAGACTGTGGTGAGATGAGAGTTGGTTTAATGATCTACGGTTCGCAAGTTACGATTGAATTCCAACTCAACACCTATGATACAAAGACAGAGTTGATTGACGCTGTTGACAAGATTCCCTGGAGATATGGAGGCTTCAATCCTGCTAATGCACTGAAAACAATGCATGAAGAAATGTTCTCAGATGCCAATGGTGATAGAGTAGGTGTTCGAAATATATGCGTGATCTTGACTGGTGGCATATTAAATATCAATGATTATATAACAATAACTGAGTCAGAAAAAGCCAGAGAGAAGGGCATACATATTTATGCAATTGACATTGCACTTAAGGTTTTCAGTGAAGTAATTCGTATTGCTAACCAACCTGCTAGTTTGAATGCTTTTGCAGTTGAATCCTTTGATGAACTAGAAGATTTAGATTTGAAGATCTTTGAATCTAACAATTCAGGTATACATTCTATTTCACACTTTTATCGGATTTTTAAAATCTTTTTAAAGTTTATTGATGAAGAAAAGTATGGGCACAATAATTTCCTACCTGAATGTTTTAAGTTTGCATGAAATATTTGTCCATCATTCGATGTCTTTAGAAAATATTTTTCATGGTTTGAAAAAAAAATATTTTCAGGAAGTCTATATTGTGTCTCTAAGGTTCTAGTTTAATGCATAAAAAAATGCTGAACAACTGAAAAAAAATCTCTTTACCGTTAGACTGAACCATGAAACGTAAAGGAATTTAATTTTTCTAGAAAAAAAATTGAAAAAATGCAACGGTTTATATGGAATTTATTGTTTTTCTGAATAAAACTTTAACTTACAGCTATGATTTAAACACAATATACTTTACACAATCATTTCATTGAGTCTCTCCAGCTAGAACATGTTGAGTGCATTCAAATTACAAAGAACGATTATACGGTACATATTAAACAATTTTTACAATATTTTTTTTATTTTTTAACGATATCATTCATGGTGTCCATTTAATTTTTCTAATTATTTGTTATAGTTCAGTGCTTTCCGAAAATAGATATAGTTTTTATTCTGGACTCGTCAACTAGCTTAGGTGAGGATAACTACAACATAATGAAAGCATTCGTAAAGAAGTTCATTCAGACAACTAACATAGACTGTGGGGTGACAAGAGTTGGTTTAGTGTCCTACAGTACGCAAGTTACGATTGAATTCCAACTCAATACCTATAACACAACGGCAGAGTTGATTGACGCTGTTGACAAGATTCCCTGGAGATATGGAAGCACCAACACGGCTGATGCACTGAAAACAATGCATGAAGAAATGTTCTCAAAAGATAATGGTGATAGGCCAGGTGTTCGAAATGTATGCATTATCATGACTGATGGCGTTTCCAATATCAATTATCAAAGAACAATTCCTGAGGCAGAGAGAGCCAGACAAAAAGATATACATATTTATGCCATTGGCATTGCACTTAAAGATTTTCGTGAAATAAATGGTATTGCTAGCCAACCTGCCAGTTTGAATGCTTTTGAAGTTGATTTATTTGATGGTCTGGAAGATTTAGATTTGAAGATCTTACCTGAATTTAACAAATTAGGTATACATTTCATTTCACATTTTTATCGGTATTTATCCACTTTTGAAGTACATGAAAGAAAAAAAAAATATGATGCAACACTTTTTTCATAAAGAAATAAAATTGTGCTTTGAATATTTCTTCATCTTTCAAAAAATGAAAAAAAAAATCATGATTTAAAATAACGAAAAACTGTTTTAAGGTTTATATCTTCAGTTGTCTTTTAGGTTCTAGTGTCTTGCATCAATAAAGCTGATGACCTGTTGAAAAATAAACTTTATTTGTTAGATTGAGGCATAAAAACTTTAGTACATGTATTTTATTTTCTAGAACAAACTGATAAAATATAAGATAATCACCGGAATCTAAAGTTTTCATAAAAGCTAAACTTTCTTCTTTGATTTTAACACAACGCAATACACTTGCACAATTATCCGATTGATAAGTGTATCCGTATGTTCCAGTGAATGAGTAAAATATATGTGTTAAATAGATTATTTTTTATATTTGATTACTATACGTATTCATGTCATGTAAAATACAATTCAAATTTCATTATTTATTATAGTTCAGTGCTTTCCGACAATGGATTTAGTTTTTATTCTTGACTCGTCAACCAGCATGGGTTATGATAACTTCAACAAAATGAAAGCATTCGTAAAAAGGTTCCTTCAGGCTGCTTATACAGTCTGTTGGGAGATGAGAGTCGGTCTAATGTCCTACAGTACCCGAGTTACTATTGAATTCCATCTCAACACTTATCATACAAAGACAGAGTTGATTGACGCTGTTGACAGGATTCACTGGACATATGGAAGCACCAACACCGCTGATGCACTGAAAACAATGCATGAAGAAATGTTCTCAGAACCCAATGGTGATAGGCCAGGTGTTCGAAATATATGCATTTTCATTACTGATGGCGTTTCCAATATCAAGCATGATAGAACAATTCCTGAGGCAGAGAAAGCCAGAGAGAAAGGCATTCATATTTTTGCCATTGGTATTGCACTTAAGGATTTGTGGGAAGTAAATGATTTTGAAAGCCAGCCTGGTTGTTTGAATGCATTTGTTGTTGATGTTTTTGATGACCTAGAAGATTTAGATAAGAAGATCTTTAAATCTTACTGTTCAGGTATCTATATTTTATTTTAATTTCATATCAGAATTTCTATTTTATATATATATATATATATATATATATATATATATATATATATATATATATATATATATATATATATATATATATATATATATATAAAGCACTAAAAAACCAACAACACTGTATATCCTAAATGTCGGATCTACCAAGTAGATACAAGGTCACGGATGGAAATTTATATAAAGCACTAAAAATGACCAACGACACGAACAATAAAAATTGTCAAATTTTCGGGACGCCCTGTCCCTTCCTCAGGACAAAGAAAAAAGTTAAAAAGTCATAAGAACAAAGGGAAAAGAGAAACAAAAACAACTAGCACTACTACTAAACTACTAAACACTAGATATTTACATACTTAATTACATGATGAATTGGAAATTTTTAAGAACACTAATAAAGAAAGAAATCCGGACCGCTATGAAATGCGTCCGGTCTATCGGGTATACTAGGGTGAAGTGCGATTTACATAAGTGAACGAATTAATTATGCTAATTAATTACGACAATTAGTAAATCGTACATTGTTTCATTCTCTCGAAATGGCGTAACTTTACTTAGTAAAGAATAATCGAAGAAAAATAATATAGCGGGGATATTTAAACATATGAATTATGATCAATTATAAATTTTGAAATATTTAAAGACTTATTACCGGGAAAAAAAATTTTTTAACAAAGGTGTAAGCAATACATAGTTATGAGAGTTGTTCGAGAGTTGGTGACGCAAATTAACTGTAGAGTTTACACTAAATTGAGAGAATAATCTTGTTTAGTATCATCAGGAATTGGGTCTAGTTTACGTTCATTCTGGTGAAGTCATTCAGTTTGTTAATACCATTAGGGCGGAATGACTTCAATCTGTGCATCCAGAACTTTTCTTTGCTTTTTCTCTGAGCATCTGTCCATCTTGGGTTATGGTCAATCACCACTACTGTCATGTCCTCCCATTTGTGACCCTCAAGGTTGAAATGTTCCCCAACGGGTTCATTGAGTTTTTTGGTCCTAATGGTCGAACGGTGGTTATTGACTCTCCTGCGGAGATCTCCTGTTTCACCAATATACTGTTTGGAGCAAACTTTGCAACTGATTAGATAAATGCAGTTGTCAGTATGACAGGACAAATTCCCTAGTATTTTGTAGCTGCGGCCTGTAACAGGGCTGTTAAAACTGTCTGTGTCAGTGCTGTGCTTACAAAGAAGACATCTTCTGTCAGAGCAAGTTTTAAAGCCCCCGTTAGGTAATGGGTTGTCCAGTCTGGTTCTTACTACCATGTCCTTTAGGTTCCTTGGGCGTCTGTATGCAGCCAATGGGGGTTCCTTAAAGACCTCTGCCATTCGTTTGTTTGAATGGAGAATTGGTAGGTTCTTTTGAAGGATACCGCTAAGGTTCTTAAGGACGGGATGGTATGTGGTTACCAGAGGGACCCTGCCGCTCTTGTCTTTCTCCTTGTAGCGTAATAGGTTTTGCCTGTCATGTCCCGCCATCTCATCAATAGCTGTTTGTACGGTGCGGGCATTGTAGCCTCTTTTGCATAAGTGGGACTTAAGAAGACCACTTTGCTCCTGATATAAGTCATATATATATATATATATATATATATAAAGATCTTTTAACATTTATCGTTAGTTTATTACGATGAAATTGCATGAAATACTTCTTTTTTATCTAAGCCCATTGAAAAAAGTAATGATTTAAGGAGGAACAGGACCTTTAGCTGAAAAAAATTCCTGTCAATGAATTTTTTCGTGTTTTTATATTATTAATTCAATATGTACTTCACATTTTGAAACGGTCCTGTCATGGGATTTCTTGACATATTTAAAAGATATCGCCCTACAAATACCGCCATGTGTAGAGTTTGTATGGAGTTTAGATACTTCATGTTTACTGGTCCATAACGGAGTCCATCATGCGAATTTTTACGCACAAACGATAAATATTTTAGATAACACTATATACTCAAATATTTCTGAATATTCATTGTGTTTAAATTATCTGAAAGCAATTGTTTTCATTTTAAATACTATTTGTTTGGAATATTTTCTTCATTTTTCAAGTCAGCTTCAACGACAAAAAACCTCATTCGGAAAAAATTCTGTCAGTATATATTTCTAAATTTACGATTGAATGTCATTCCTTCATCGTAATTATTTACTGCATAAATATCACAGGGTGAAGCTTACCTCAATATCGCACAGGACATCGTCGAATTAGATGTAAGCATGATAAAAACGCTGCACGTTTGTATTTTCCGAGTGAGGGAAATCAATTGTGACATCACATGAAAACATGAACATTCAAAATCTAGATGATAGCAAGATCTTTAAAAACTTTATGAATAATAATTTCTATAATTAAATGTTTAAAAAACAATTTTACAATTTAGAATAAAATTACACAAGAACTGTTGATTTTAACAACGTTTAACATGTATATCATCACCGATTATGACGTAATATGTCTTTTTAGTCATGTGACATGTGCACTGTCTCCCCTTAAAATGCTTTCAACAGTTTTTTAACATATCTACAAATCGTTTCTCTTCTATCTGGTCAAAAATCATGCAAGAAAAAAAGGGGTTTTTTTAATACTATCTTTTTCTCTTATTCCTTTATATTGTTTTCATAGATGTAAAAAAAAACCAAGTCATTTATATATTCATTTATAACTATTCTACAATTTCTTAACTTTCCCTCATAAATTTTGCAGAATCAGATCATGGTATTCTTGCAAATTAAACCATTTTAAGTGAATCTATTTCATCAATGTATTGTTAGCAAATCTCTTGTGAAACAGTAAATAAAATAGTGTTTTGTTATCATACATTCTACCACGATTATTGAGAACATCAAAGGAAACCGGCGGACATTATCCTCCAATAAATCACGAACGTCATCAAAAAATTATCAGATCAGAAACACGTATCAAATCTGAACAATTCAAATGCATGTTTGGCTGTAGAATGAAATACTTGTTTAGACCGCATCGATGTGTCGTCTTTTGCAGTATAAACACTGTAAATGGCATCTAGTTGCTGATGAATGTCGGTTTTTATAGCTATGCGGGGCTATTCTACGGACCTCCCTATACATTAAACAACGTGATTTTAGCCGTAAAAGAAACATGATTTTGTTATTTTATATTCATTTTAACTGATCAATACATATTACGAAAAAATTTGTAATTTAAAAAGGCTATTTTTAATGAAACGAAAGCTCAAATCGTCTGCATTCTATACACAGGTACATGTAAGCAAACAAATTTTACCTCTGGTGTTAAATGAAAAAGCTTAATCGAGACATGGTGACCTAATTCGTTTCTCTATAGAGGAAACAATTATCCATAGTTTAGCGATTGTAGTTATACATGGTAGAATAGAAATAAAGTCCTTGTTGTCATGAATGATGCGTAATAACCTCCTCTGTCTCGAAATGTTGTTTGAAATATTAAAGCCTAGGTTAACGCCTCGGCTTTTATCTTTCAAACAACATTTCTCGACCTTGGAGGTTATCCTGCAACATTCACGAAAACGCGGACTTTATTTCTTAAATATACGGATCCATATCCTTTATGCATGTGATAATAGTGACAGAACAGATCACTGCTTTCTCGTTTCGTTTGCATTTATGCTGAGGTCAAGCAATATGCATGGCGCTAGAAACAAGTTTTTACAGAGATGCTACGCAAGAAGTGTTCGAAATTCGTCGTTGATTAATAACTGTAATAGTCCTGCATTAGCAATTTCATAGTGGTGAAGCACTGTTAATTCGGGGCGCGTTTATCCGGTAGAAGCCAAGCAATTAAGCTGATGAGAGCAAAAATCATTCCGTTTCCGAAGACAAACTCTGATTTACAGAAATGCCCGCGATGGATTTTTCTATGTCGACGACCTCATACACGTCAATGTTTGAAGGTAAATGTTCTAGAAGTGTGCCTGTTTCATGTAAATTTTATAATTAGTTAAATGTGTATAATGACGAGTGAATCGTTTGAATATTTTACATTCATGGACTGTAAAGAAGGAAGACATCACCTATTATTAGGTCTAAGTAGGGTCGTCACCGGAGGGTAACAACCCTACTCATACCTGATAATTGCTGGTGTCTCCCTTTTAAACAGTCCATAATAGTTTTATTATCCTGAGGATTCTAAATTATCAATTAAATAGAGTAGAAAATAGGAATCAAATCTTTTGTCTTCTACTACTCTGCTCCGATTCCATATCTCCAAACTTCGTCAACAGACAACTTTGACGTCATCGTAGGAATTTCTACTTTACCAACCCCGCATATTTAGCAAAGCGTGTACACACATATAATTATGAATAACGATTATTTCGCTTAAACAATGGGCGACAACACAGTAGAGGATGTGCCTGCTCGCCTATAAAAACTATTTCATTGTTATCTGAAGAGTGACAACAGTTGTGACTCCGCGCGTGAGGCCATCACCTATTGTCACACCTCAGATGACATGCGCTAAACCAATCAGCTAGACTGTATAATTCTGAAGGATAATGATATTTGTCACTCTGTTAAGTTGTTGTGATTAACAAGTGATTATTCATTTAGGAGTACAAATTGTATGTCAGATAAACCAGTCATTATGCCAAGAATTTAGTCTCGGAATTTTATAGCATGTTCAGAATTGATGCATCAATAAATAAAATATTATCATTAACATAATTGAAATTTAAAACAAAGACGTAAAACAATATTCCTTAAGATAGTAAAAAAAGAGAGTGACTGACAGACAGACAGGCAGATAGGCAGAGAAATATTGATTGATTTTATATTGTTTAACGTCCCTCTCTCTAGAATTTTTCACTCATATGGAGACGTCACAGTATGCCCGTGAAGGGCTTCAAATTTGACCTTCTCTCGGCACTCAGGGCCATTGAGCAGAAAGGGATCTTTATCGTGCCAACGCCTGCCGCCGGCACGGGGCCTCGGTTTTTAAGGTCTCATCCGAAGGACCCGCAACTTTCACTTCAAAGTGCCGAGTGCATGGCAAAGGAACAGTTGCTACCCATTTTTTATCGACTAAGGTCAGTCGCAGACGAGATACGAACTCGATCACGACTTTCCTATCACGGAGCGAGCGCTCTACTGACTGAGCTACCGTGAACGGTGACAGAGAAAGAAAGAGAGAGTAAGTGAGTGATGCATCTCTGAATTGCTTTGAAATTTTTGGAAAATGATGAATTATATTGTCACCTCCCATTTTTTAAACTTTTATAAATGATATCTTAGATTATTCTAATGGTCCAATTTCACCATTTTAATGTATTTTATTTTATTATTCCTTTAGATGGTCTATTTGATGACTTACCAGATTCTTTTGATACTCAGGCTAATGAACAATTAAAGAAACTAGAGATGGAAAATACAATGCAAGTCATTTCAAATGAATGAGTGGTTAGACTTTTTACCATTACTTAAAGTGCAAGTAGTAAATTGAAACAGAAATAGAAAATTGTTTTACAAATTTGTGACTTTTAAATACTAGTAACTCACAAAAATAAGGGGAAAAATATTAAATAGGGCATGCTACTTCTTACTAGGAAATACAGCTGTAAAGAAGATTTTGTTTTTTCTTTTCAGCGAAAAGGAAAGAAGTTTAAAAAGATTTTCTTATTTAACAAAAAATCTGCGTGTAATTTTGTCAATTACTGGCTCGACATAGAATTGAATGTGACAACTGGGAAACCATCAATTCTGAAATGATAAAGTCAATGTTACACAGACTTAGTCCTTAAATACATTGAAAGGTCTTGTTGTAAATGACCGTAGAAGTTCAGTTTACATGTATTTGTGTCATATCCTGTTATCAAGTTTTTCTGATATTGATATCAGTAAATGGTATGCTTTTTTTTATTTTTATACACTGTAAAAAATACCATTATGCACGGATGAAAGACAAAGGTTTTCCTATTGAAGAAAGGTTTCATATGCTAGGCTTCAATAAAAATATCCCTAATGTCAGTTACTGCATGTAAATTCATTCATTCAATCAGGTATTCATTCTTTATCTTTATTCATACTGTGTAAGGTAAAGATTGATTTTTATTATTTATTACAATTCAGTGCTTTCCAAACATGGATAAAGTTTGCATTGTGGACTCGTCTATAAGCGTGGGTGATGATGACTTTCAAAAAATGAAATCATTCGTAAAGAAGTTCCTTCATCCTGGTAGCATAGACAGCTGAGATATGAGAGTATGAAAGAAACGATAAAATTCCAGTTCAATACTTATAATACAATGACAGGGTTGGAAAGGTTCCCTAGAAATATGGAAGCACAAATACCGCTGATGGACTAAAGGCAATGCATTAAGGAAGGTTTTAAAAATACAATGGCGACCCCCCTGGTGTACAGAACATATGTATTATCATATGGGCATTCCATTTTCGACTATAAAAGAACAATTCCCGAAACAGTGAGAGCCAGAGAATATGGCATACATATTTTTGCCATTTCAAATTTTGAGGGAAATAAACTCACAGCCTGCTTGATTGATTGCATTTGATGTTGCTAACTTTGATGACCTACAGTATGTAGATAAGAAGATCTTTAATATAGAATTAATTTCTCTTTTGAGGTCAAAATGGTGAAATAAGGACCCTAGACCTGGCCCACGAGGTGACCTGACTTGACCGAGGTGCCTTAAAGACCGTTGACTTCTGAACGTCATTTAAGTTTCTGCATCATGATTTAGTTATTAAAATAATTTTTGGTTAATAGCGATATGCATCGTTGTAAATAAAAATCACTTTTCATGCACAGTCAAAATCTAGCGGAGATTTTAACTGTGAAAAAGAAATAGAGCCGTGTAAGTAAAACATTATATAAAAAAGTGTTTTTGCGTAGCAAAATACGGTTCCTTTTTTAATTGGATGTGCTGATTTCGATCGGTAAGATCACTGCTATATCGCGTTATTTGCATCTGCGCTCAGGTCTAACATCACATAGCTACCATGGTGCGGAGATTCCATGCAAATGCGTTTGAAATCCGTTGTTTATTAAAGTCTTGTAATAAATTCTATACTTCTGTAAAGCAGTGTTTTTTCGGGACCTGTTAACCTGATAGAAGGTAAGCAGATAAACTGATAGAAGAAAAATTAATTCTATTTTCGAAGCAGATATCTGATAAACAGAACTGTCTGCAATGGATTCTCATGTGTCGAAGACCTCATATATTTATGTGATCAAAGGTAAATAATTATTTATAATTTTTTTTTGTTTGTTTGTATCTCTCTTGTAAGGTTTTATGCAAGGAATCAGCCAGTAAAAATCAACTTAGTCAATTATAGATCCATATATAAATATTTGTCTTATATTGTCTATAAATCTTATATGTATAGAGAGAGAAAAAATTTCTTTTTTTTCATTTTTTGGCATCTTTATATACAGTATAAAATTTGGACTCATGTACTACGAATGTCATAACTATAGCAGAATTATTATTACATTGGATTAAAGGGAACGCCTTTTTCATGCGTCGATGATGCAACTTCTTAGATGGTGTCTAGGCTGTTTGTCAACATCTGAAACCCACGTGTATTTCGGGGTAGGTATGTTTACTGTCAATTTTCTTTCTTAAAAGCCACGAAAGGCGTATTCTTCTGATTTCAATTTTTTATAGCAATTATCTTCCCTTTCTCTGACAGGAATTAGCTGTTGAGAGTCTAATTGATTAAATAACTTAACTCAAGCTATATAGTAATATATAGTAATATATAGTAAAATTATTTTCCTGTGTGATACCTTAACGTACCTATCTATAATTTTTCACTGGAGATGCCACAACTTGCTGGTGGAGACTTGCAAATTTGTCCTGTACTTGGCACTTAGGGCTTTTGAGCAGGGAGGGATTTTTTTTCGTGCCAGCACCTACTGCGACATGGAACCTCGATTTATACGGTCTAATCCGAAGGACCGGTCTCCATGTCCCACCGTTGCAGTTCAGTCCCGCGAGGTAAGGATCAAATCCTTTCTTTGCGACTCTAGAGCAGACGCTCTAACAACTGCATCACACGGACGAGTTCTAAAAATGTAAATGTTAAAGTTTAATGTAAATAGACTAGCTATCTTTATTATAAGTAAAATTATGAAAATTTAGAACGTTTGTGTAAACGTTAATTATTGTCACTTTCCAATGCAGCACTGCAAATAAGAACTGACAATATGGAGTGCACATTGTTTGTCAGAAACATTTAAACCAGTCATTATGTTAAGATTTAAATCTTGGATTTTAATCATAATAAGTTTTGAATTTCTGAATAATCAATAAAATATCATTAACAGTATTGTAAATGTGTGCCAATCGGAGTAAAATAAAATTATAAAAGAGAGAGAGGAAGAGATAGAGAGAGAGATGTCGGAGAACTGCTCTCATGGAAAAATGAAAATATCTTGTGTTTTCTGTCTGATTTAAACTTTTTAAAGATAATATTTAAGATAAATTTAATTGTAAAACTTTACCAATTTCTTTTATTTATTTTTTTCATTAGATTGCCAATCTGATAATTTCCGGATCCATTGTTACACAAGTAATAGATCGAGACGGTAAAAAGTATCCATTTTGAGACATATTAATGACTTTCTACGTTAATTTCAAGTAAATAGCCTAGTAAATTAAAAAAATATATATGCACATAAATATGTTTAAACAATTAATGTTTTTATAATTCAAAAAAAAAATAAGAAAATTATAATAATATATTATTTGAAGTACCAGAAGTACCAGAAATATTCAAGATTGCAGGAGATATCTTATGTACTGAAATGGGGGGAAGATCTTTTTCAGCAACAACAGTAAAGCCCCCCCCCTCTTTCTCCCGATCCTGTCTTATATTAGGATGTCGTCATTTCTACAGAGTAAGCATTTTATTCATTTTCCACGATTTTAAGACATGATCGGGTCTAATAACTGATTATGATATCAAAACAGAAAAAAAATGTAGATATTTTTCTGATAAAAAACAAAACAGAATAGCTAAACAAAATTCAGTCTCCGATAATTCAGTATCATATAGTGTAAATACTGAATAATTAAAAAAAAGATTGTTTCATGTTATCAGGTTAACGAATTAGAACTCAATTATAATAAACAATAGATAAGATAAAAATTGTATAGACGCAGAATTGACAATGATAACTAACAGTTGCGCAAAAGATTTTTTTTTTTATAAAATCCGTGCAATCGTTTTTGTACTTTTTCACACTAGATGATTCCTCACAAACGATACTTATAAATGAGAAAAGGTAAGAGCATTAATTTTATGTTGTATTTAATTATCTCTGAATGTGTAAGACTAGTAATTTCATTCTTTTTTCAAAGAGATCAAATATATTTAAGACTATTGTAATCAATTTTCAATAAAAAAATTCACATAAATCAATGCTGTCAAGAAAATAAAAGATCTCTGAATAACGAAAGCAATACTTTTACAATCTTTTCTAATATATATTTAGTCATCAGTCTTTGATAATAATAAAGAAATAATCGCAAGCAAAGAAAAAAAAAAAAAAATGAAAAATCGATTGGAGTGCACTTTGAAATTTCAATTTGCTCTTCAATTTAAATCGTAAACCATAATTTTATACTTTGACAATTTTTATATCACAAAATGTCAATTGTAGCTATAAAACATAACTTTAAAAGTATGAAACAAATACCATGGCAAGGTAAAGCTCCAATATAAAATAAGCCCATATTTTTCTAAAATATGAAAGTGATATAAGAAATCAAAATTCTTTCTTTCTGAATCATAGGAATTCCCTGCAATAAGAATACACAGCCAGATCGTTTTTCTCATATGACCCCTCAAACGCTAATTGGTACGTCATTAACTTGTGCATTTTCCCGTTTTTTCTTAAAAAGTTGCAGAAGACATCAATTTTCAGTGGAATTGTCTTTCAAAAAACATACTATGCCACCGTAGCCCAGAAAGATTTTGAGATATGTGATTTTGTGAAAGTGAGCGACGGTGACAGGCACTACATTCTAATGGGAAATAGCACAGAAATGAGTCATATGAGGCTTTGCTGCATTACACTTAGAAATGTACCAAATTAATGACGTCATAATTTCAGAAAGGTCCTCCTTTATGCTACAACATTTTTAATGATTTAACATATTCATCTACTAAACTGTTGTTAAAGCCCATTTCACAACTTTTTAAAAACATTTAATTTTTAGGCCACAATAAAGCTCAAACTGTACCTTTTTTTCCTTGCATGGTTAGTTATTATACACAAAAATGCTTTATGAAAAGGCGTTTTAGTGTGGTAAGTTAATTCGGCTGTTAAGCTAAAAGATCGGCTTATTGAGTTTTGTCAAACATACATTTATACGCGGGTTTACTAAAGTTACAATAGGATTCAACGTAAAAAAAAATGCGAAGCTATAGTAATTCTTTTTTAAGTAAAATTGTTTGATTCAACATTCTTTGTATATTATACAATATCGACATTCAATTTATTCTGGCGGGATTTACAAATTATGTCTTTTTAAAAGGAAAATGCATCACAATAGAATTACATCTTTTTTGCTATGAAGTATAAGGGGATATTGAGTCTCACAAAATTATAACAAGCTTGAAAAACTTTAAAAGAAAACGCTACAAAATTGAAAAATTAAAAGTAAGCAGGAAGGAAAATAGTTGAAAATGCTGGCGGTGGGATAATGATATTGTATTTTGTTATGAGCCCTCACATCTCTTTTCCTGCACTGGGGAAAGGAATAGACATACAATATTCATTCTATGAAGTATTAGTATAAACGTACAAGTTGATATTTTTGTTGATTAACGTTCCTCTGGAGAATTTTTCACTCATATGAAGAGGTCACCACTTGCTGGTGGGGAGCTGCAAACACTGACCTATACTCGTCCCCAGCTCCGAAGGTCCTTTTCGTACCAGCATCTTCTGCGGCTTGGGGCCTCGGTCTCGTCCGAGAGGCCGGTCTCAACCTCCCACAGTGGCGTTCGAAATCGAGACGTCAGGATTTACTTTTACTCCACGAATCTAGAGGAGACACTCTTCCACTGCGCCAGCCGGGCGACTTATAATCATATTAATTGTGCTTCATACATTTATCTTAAATTAATTGTAACATTTCCGATTTAAATTAAACAAAAAAACAATAGTTAAAAATATATAGGTTTGCAAACGATCTTAAATCAAATCCGATTAGATGTTTCTTATATACAATCATATGCATTTGCTCAAATTTTACTGCACTGCTTAAGCTTATTGAGAGAAAAAAAATCATATGACCTCTCAATGTTTAATTTAAACAGTTCCATGTTACTGGTATACTATTTCAACATGAAGATTATCATCAATCATTGGAATTACTAGCTTTTTTTAGTGAATGGTTAATACATTTATGTTTTTCTGGTCGTGAAGATAAACGAAATTAATGACGTCACATCAACGTAATATAGCGTGGTGATGAAAGTGTAATACGTTTGCAGGAAAATTTTTAAAAAATATTTATTTATTTTTGCAAGAAATTGAGCTAGAACACATATTAATATTTTTTGTGATAGATGGATTTTAAAGTTGCTTCACCGCTTTATGATTAACATGAACTTTAACTTTTCAATTGTCAACTTCCCTTAATTTTGTAGCAATACTCAAAAACCTCCATCTCTGATCAGATCATAACTTTTCCGGAAGTTATTCCAAGCAATCTAACACATAATTTGAAAATGAGGACAATTTTATAGTCAACTCATTCAAATCTGATCTACTGTACAGATTTTGATTTTTATTTCTTTTGCCAATTTTTAAAAATTAATTATTTATAATAATTAATATGATACTTCATAAAAGGTTGGAATTTGGAGCATGGGGATATAGAATTGCAGGATGAGTTGGATTTTTGACTCCGTTGTCTTTCCATAGAAAGTAAACAAACGTGTTTTTTTTTTACGTATTTGTCTTTGTATATTTTTAATGATTAGTTAATATTTGAGTAATTTTAGATAAAACAAGTACCATCAAGCAGACTTAAAAAAGTACTCTCTGATAAAGGGATATCATTTCATTTATTATATGATTGTAGCGAATACAGCTGTATGATACCTGCGGAAAATACATGCCTATTACATTGATAATATTTGTTAAACAGAACTAAATATATGATATACCATATCAAATGAGTCAAGGTTATAGATAACAACACTTCCTGGTTTCTATATGATGAAATATACACTCTTGGGGGAATCGTCTTATAACTTAAAGGAAAATTGGAATCCATAAGCTTTTAGAAAAATCAACAAACAAATGTTGTATTACTTTTTTTCACTTTTACAATAATTCCTCTCGATAAATAAAAACGGCTTGATAATATATTTATTTTCAATAAAAACGAAACTACGAACATTTTTTTAATTGTCATTTGTCATTAATGTAATTACTTTAGTAAAAAAAAATACTCTTATTCTAAACACAAATAATTTGAAAGAGATGAAAACGTTGGCATGAGTTTTTCATTGACAACATATATGTTGTCTTTGAAGACCTGGCCTTCGGGCCATACACAAGTTTACTTTTGATTTCAGTTTCACTTTTTCCACTTTATATTCCTTTGGTAAAAGTGAGACTGAAATCAAAACAGAGTTTGTTTAAGTTGTATGGCCCCAGGCATGGTTTTCCAACATACTGCTGGAATTTCGATGGGCACTTATTATTATCCTTTATTAGTTGACTAATTTTTTACCGGTATATTTCTATGAAGAGATGTTCTTTCAAAAAGGCAGGGTCGTTAGGGACAACGATATGGGATTGTAGGCAAAGCAGGGTCAGACAGGGGAATGAGAAACTTTTTTTGAAATTTCAAGGGGAAAATTATAATATCCTATGATTATTGTATCTTTTCTTCCGTTCCTTTAATTGTCTCATTGTAGCAATATTTTTCTCTCCATTAGTCACTTTAAAGTTGTAAGAAGACCATATACAGTAATGGTCACAATTTTTATGTTATGGATACCCCAGTCACGTCCGTGATTTCAACTCTTGATTCTCTACTCAAGAGTTTACAATTCTTATGGTGCTTACAGATCTAATCATTTAAATGAATGCATGTACATAATTTTTTTATGTTCAGAAATTATTTTTTTTAACTTCAGTGTATATTCTCTCATGTTTTTGTAAACAATTGATGATAATGTGAAAAAAACGAAAACCTATCATGGATCAAGAAATTAAATGTGGATTTTTTTCTCACAAATTCAATACTGAAATCAATTTTTTTATATTTAACAGGATAAATCAATGACTGGAATTCATTTTTAAAGATTTGAATTAAAGCAAGCATAAAAATTTTACTGAATACGTAAACGAGATTAACACTTCTGTGTTATTGTCTGACGTCACGGCGTCAGACAGTACTAGATTTAACTAGGGCTTATTTATGCAGTCGTTCCATGAATTTGTTTAGATAGTTCAATGGTGGAAATTTCGATGCATGCATTATCTCCAAAGACGTTTGTAGTTTGCCCCAAGAGGAAATGAGCTTTTAATCTTCTATTTACATTACTGGGTGATTTTGTCTTTAGTATAATCCGTGCTTTCATCTTCGAACATGTCCGCTTCAGTTCTCTTAAAAATGTCCTATTATAATAGATCTCACTGTTATTTTTTGTGTTGTTTATCAAAGAATAAATCATTTTACATGTTATGGTTAATTATTTTATTGCTTATTTTCAGTAAAATTGTACCTTTGACATTGATTTATCTATAAACATCAGGCACTTAGTCAAATATTTTCTCTTAGTTACCCTGCTCCCATATTGTAAAATCTGTTAATACAGTGAATGAGAAAAATGCAGTGAAAACGGAAAAAATGTCTTATTTACGTTTAATTCTTTATTGTGTAAATAGATTTGCAGGTTGGCTGAAATGTTAATTATTTACTCTTATCCAATGATAATATTTCGGACGATTACATTGTAAAAAAAAAAGTTTGCATCTTCTTGTTTCTTTCCTATAGATACTTCAGAATTTCATACATCAATTATGTAACTGTGTTAAGTAGAGAATCATTGTGCATTAGATAGTTTGAGAAGCAATGAAAGCTCTCAAGAACAGCAGGGGAATGGTCAGCATGTGTAACGCTCTGCCAAGATTGTTATCCCCTTTAAACGCGTCCATTAAGTGATCAAAGATCTTCCCATTGACTTCATTTACAACCTTCATTTTAATCTGTTTGTTGAATAAAAAATCAGTTAGGTTATTTAACATAAAAACATTATTTGAAAAAATGCAGTCCCCAGGATCTTGAAACATCTTAAGTTAAAGTCAAAATCTTTATCTTATAATAAATTGAGGTGGAAGAAATAAGACGTCAAGCAGACCAAAATTTAAATATTTTTGATATTGTTTCACAGAGGTGTTGTTATGTGCAAATTAAAAGAAATAAATTCCATAATTATTAAATTTTTTTTGGCGATTAAAAATTTTACTTAAGTCTACCTGGAGCCATTAGCTTAAATTAAATGTTCTTTGTAAACAATATTGTTTACGCATGGTTTTTGAAAGATATATTAAGAAATTATATAACATATATATTATTTCTTTCCTCTTTATGAATTTAAGCAAATCACGTCAGACAAGCTTTTTAGGAAAGCTAATACTTGTGATATATTTGATTTAAGATATAAAAAGTTTGCTCGTTCATATGATATTCTGTTTGGAAACACAGTTCCCTGAATTTTTTCTTATTTCATAATATCATTCTTAATATGATAAGTATAGCAATTAGTAATGCAATTTCAACTTTTATTACAGACCTGAAAAACTGAAAATGACATCATACAGCCGAATGCAGAACTCCATCAACTGTAGAGGTATCTTAAGATATTAAGATAAGATATTATCCACTACACTCATTGTACGCGTACGATGCCTTATCCTTATTCATGGCGATCTATGAGTATAGCAGCCATGACTACACATTAAATACATCTGTGAAATATGAAAGCCATAGCAAGCTCCCACTCAAAAGTTACTGGGAAACGCTTTTTGCGGACAAACAGGCAGACAGACAGACCAGCAAATACTTTTAAAATACTCCTGAATCTTCGAAAATAGATGTCGATTGCTCCAAACACTTTGAAAATGAGGGGCTATCAAAAACGTCGTCGACAGACGCCGTAAAAGTAACATTTTATGCAGTAGTTTATGAACTATTTCATAGCATAGTATTAGCCAGATATTTTCTACCGTATTACATTCCTTTAAACTTGCATTTTGCATTTATAGCCGTTTAAAAAAATACAGGTATAGGTTTATAGGTTTAAACCAATTCCGGTCTTCTTATCATTTTAATCTCTGCCTCCAGCCTGGCCTTCTCCTCGGCCTTGCGTTGTTTCTGCCTTGCCCTTTTCTGAGCTTTGGAGGATTTTTCGGGTGCTTGATCTTTGTTCTCTGTGCCATTTATGTAGTTGAGCAGTTCATCTAGGCCCTTGACATCCACTGGGTCTTCTGGGGGATACACTGGGGGAGGGGCGGGCTTCACAGGGGGAGCGGGGGTACTATTGTTGTTGTGACTGGAATTAGCCATGATACAGTTCTGGTGGTGAGGATCTTGCATCTTTTCTGTTTGTTGCTAAAATACAAAAAATTTTACTCATAAATTTCTGATCAATTTTATGTGTAAAAAATAAAATATTGTTCAGAATAAAGTCATACTTTTAGGTCATAAAATCAATTCAATGTACAATAGAACCTTTTTCATTTGTGGGAACTAATCTTATGGATTGCTAAAAATGTATAGACTGATGTAATTTCATGGGTAATCATCATAATTTTACACTGTTAGAGATCATCTTCATGAATTTTGCTAGTGTTGTATATTGAGTTGACTTCATAGTTACACAGAAGAAAAGTGATCTCACCTTCCTTTTTAATCTCAGCCGCAGTCTGTTCCTCATTTCTTCGTAATTCTTACTGGTTGGAGCAACTGGAGGCTATAGAAAAAAAATATATGTACTGTATATGACAAACTTCCAATCATCCATAATGCACAAGAAAAGATACTTAATTTTCATATAAATACTTCTTACAAGCTGTCTCTTACAAATCACTTCTTTAATGAAGTGAACCCATGCCATGTGTTAATTGTTATACTTACATTTCCATGACCAAAGAATTCACAGTAGCAGCAATCACAGTACTTTCCCTCCTTCTGATTGGACGAGGACGTCAGGGAGTTTGGATCAGAGCAGCTGTCATCCACGCTATCACAGTTCTCATCCCCGCAGTGGTTGCTACAGTTTGGTTCCATACACACTGTCGACGTCCCCACGCTGACGTTATTGACCGTCGTCGGCATGGACACGCCGTTGGGACAGTGGTTATGGTCGGGATTGGTCTGGAGTACGTGGTTGGGGGGATTCCTATTGTTATGGTTACAAGAATGACTGTTATTGTTGGCGTTTAGACTGTTGGCAAACTGGCGGATCATCTGCATGCCCTCTTTCGCATTCTCCCGGATGTTCCGAGCCGCTGAGAACAGCTCTTGTGTCACTTTGACAGTGCTAGCATTGTTATTATTGTTATGAGCCTGACAGCTAGCGTTGTTTTTTCCCAGCAGAGTTGAGTTGTGCCTTTTACAGTGTTGTGAATGCTGTTTTTGGTCTGCGACTGAGGTGACGCTGGGGGTGGGTCCCAACGTCTGCTTTTGTGAGATGTTACCTCCTAGGGTGACTGGCCTGGTACAGGGAGGGGTCATACTGTTGACCGGCAGATCACTGTGAGACACCATTACGGCGGTGCGGTCATGGTTTACATTAGTGATATTTGCCATGGACTGAGGGGTAGATAGGGACACATGGTGACTGACGGAGGTTTTGAAAGCACTTGTTGGTATGGTTGTCGTGGACACAGTCTCGACTCCCATTTGTGTCGCCACTGAGAAAGGCTCGTTCAGAAAGCTTGCAGTGTTAAAATTAGTGGTTAGAGGAGGAGGAGGGAGGAGATCCGTACTGATACCACTGTACTTCTGGAAAGGAATGCTAGCATTGTACGTGTTATCCCACTCTCCGTACGCATGGTACATGTGTTCATGGATTCCTTCAGGAGAATCAAAGTCCAGCTTTGGAAGGACTTTCCCTGTTGTCTGCAGTAGAGACTTGGGCTGGCGGATTGGCATGTGGAGATCGTACAATTGGGTGGGCAGGAGAGGAGGGGGAACATGGTGATTGGCCAGTGGGTGCAGGCTAGGGGACCCGTGGATGTGGGGGTACAGGTGGAGCTCGGCCGGTCGCGCCGTCTCAGGGGCGATGGTCTGCGGTAAGGAGGTGGACACTGTGTTTCCTTGTTCTCGTAAACAGGCATAGCATTTACAAGAGTTTTCCTCCTGTTTTGTCTGGGAAAGAAAACAAAAATTATTATTTTTTGATAATTTTTTTTTCAAAAAAAAAAACAAAAAGGTAAGCTTGCCACATCAACAGTTCTTAAAGTTCATTCATTCTTTATCATTTTTCGAAACACCTTTCTTTCCCTTTTGCCCATATTAACTACAATATCTAGAAGCAATGGTTATCTGTTCTAATTTTTTTATCTCATTTTTATGTGGTGCAAACCTATTCTTTAAAATAAATTAAAAACTCAACAAAGATAAATTTTTCCTACCTTCTGTTCATTCTGTGCCTGCTTTTTACAATGAAAACAATCACATTTCTCGGAGCTGATGAGATCTTCCAGTGCTTCGTCATCATCCTCATCCCCTAGATACATGGAAGGCGAGATCAGTTCCCTAATGCCATGTTTGGTTTTCTCTGTGGAATTCTCCCTCACACCTCGGCTTTCGTCTTCTTCGTCGTAGTCGATATCGTAGTTATCTAATTCATCGTCGTCGTCGTCGAGATCGTCTTCCTCCTCCTCATCACAGATGTCCATGTCAGACATCTGACCCGCCTCCTTGTCATCGTCTTCTTCATCTTCATCGTCGTCTTCTTCATCATCATCGTCATCCTCGTCGTACACATCTAAACTTCCCTGATTCTCCTCCTCTAATTGTCTTCCATCTGCGTTTTCTCCATCGTTGGACTGATTGTTCTCAATGTCTGCCATATTCTCTCTACTGATGAAGACAAAAACAAAATTTGTTTGTTAAGATGTTACAGTACAGATACTTATTCTCTCAGGTACTTTGTTCTTCATGAATTTTACTTTTGTTCCCAACGAATGTCTGTATTTTCTATATTTTTTACTTAATGCAACCAAGGACAATTTTTAAATACAGTATGTATTTCATGTATATAAGCAAAATAAATTTGAACTCATCACATAATTAAATGATATCAAAACATTAGATTCACATGCAGTAAGATGAGTAATAAACACATACTTTTGAGCTGACTCATTGAATGGAAGATTGAGTCTCTCGTGGATGAGCGGGCTGGAGGATCCACTACTGGATGTTGTACTGGACATAGACGGGGGACTGACGTCAATACGATAGCGGTTAGGGTCGTGTAGAAAGGTGGGGTGTCCCCCCGGATTACTGGCCTCCAATGCCTCAGGGTTTATAATTCCACATGTAATCATGTGTGTTATTGTACATTCATCACAAGGACACCTATACATAGAGAACATAAGACTGTAATAGTAAACTGTTACAAGTTAACCAATCTTTCTATTGTGTATATTCTGAATAATCAAACACAACTCAAAGCAAAAATTACATACTGATAGTTAGTGGTGTCTAAGACAAACATCAAACTATTCATGTACATGTACATCTACCTTTAATGCTAACTCCAAGGACAGTTACACTAGTTTACTCCTTTATGACACTGTATTAACTTACCTTTTCCTGTTACATCGAGGACAATGGCACTCCTCAGGACCGGGTTTAGTTCCCTGTAACATCATCCTCATTGTCTCCGTAAACTGAGCCTCAAAACTGTAAACAGACAAATAAATTAGTGATGCAAGGTTTATAGCAAAGACCCTCAGAAAAATAAATTGGTGATACAAGGTTTATAGCAAAGACCCACAGAAAAATAAATGAGCAATGCAAGGTTTATAGTAAGGACCCATTAAAGGAGTATATACATGTATTTTATGTAATGAGCATGGAATTCATTGTAAATCGAGCTCTACACAGACCTGTGAGCTACTGGCGAGGACGCACTTTTGGCCACCTGCTCCTCTAAGATCTTCCGCTGTGCCTTGAAGAACTCCCAATCCTCTTTGAGCATTTTCTGTTTCAATTTTAATGTTGCCTGCAAAGAACAACATTTGACATTTTCTCATTTATAAGTTGTCCACAACAAAGTCTGAATGAAATATAGGGGTGCAACGATACGCCTACCCCACGATACGATACGTATCACGGTATTCAGTTCACGGTTCGATACGTATCACGATACATGACATATTGGGTTAAAGAGTCAGACGTTTGTCATCATATCATGCTTCAAACTCAAAAATTTTATCAAATGCTCATTACGCTTACACTAGGAAAGTGATAAAGTCCTTTGGCCTGTTAAATATGAGACTGGAAACAAGTTTATTTGCCGTTTCTGCAGTTTCATTGACCTCATGTCTCGTGCGGAAGCCATTTTGAAATTGTAAATGACGAACCAAAACGGACAGATCAGATAATTACGGACCGATTGAACCGAACCGTGGTATCAGTTTCACGTATCGTGAACCGAACTGTGGAAAAATAAACCGCGGTATACCGACAAACGGTTTATCGTTGCACTCTTAATGAAATACATTTGCTGTGTTTCCCCCCAAAGTGCTGTATATTAACTTGATATTTGTGACACTCACCTGTACCTCGTTATACTGCTCTATCAGCTGATGGCTGTCTCGCCTGTTCCTCGTTATACTGCTCTATCAGCTGATGGCTGTCTCGCCTGTTCCTCGTTATACTGCTCTATCAGCTGATGGCTACTCACCTGTTCCTCGTTATACTGCTCTATCAGCTGATGGCTGCTCACCTGTTCCTCGTTATACTGCTCTATCAGCTGATGGCTGTCTCGCCTGTTCCTCGTTATACTGCTCTATCAGCTGATGGCTACTCACCTGTTCCTCGTTATACTGCTCTATCAGCTGATGGCTGTCTCACCTGTTCCTCGTTATACTGCTCTATCAGCTGATGGCTACTCACCTGTTCCTCGTTATACTGCTCTATCAGCTGATGGCTGTCTCGCCAGACTACAGATATCACAGACATTTCATCATCAAACTTCAGATACTGATGTAGGAGGTTGGGATATGTATCTTCGTGATACGACTCCTTGGATGCTGCACCAAGTCTGTAACATAATACCTAACAATTATATATCTTATTTCACACTATATTCAATTTGTCCATGAGAAAATCTTGTGTAGCTCAAAATAAAGCATGCCACAGACAATATAAATTAAAGTAAAAAAATCCACCTTAAGTTGCAATAATAAAAAAATTTCATTTCTGACAGATGTAAAATATAAAATTCTCAAGTGAGTTATGAAATATAAAATTGTCACTTGGGTTTATGAAATACATAGTTCTTATGTGAGTTATGTAGTGTCAAATTCTGACCTGAGTTTAAAATATATAGAATTTGAGTTTTACAATTCAAAATACTGACCTGAGTTGTGAGATAATAAGATGAAGACTGCTTTGTATGGAAGGCTCAGTATAGGCTATAGACTGAAACAGGTGCTTGTTATGTAGCTCCCACGTCACATTGAACTTGGAAAGGTGATCGGTTTTCTGAAAGATAAGCGTATGGTGGTAACACATTGTCCTAAATGTCAACAACTCCAATAACACTCTTATAGAACAATTTGATTGGACATCTATTCCTTAACTTTTAATCTACCCTTTTATTAGGGCTTTTTATTTAGTTCAGAAATTAGGCTCAATACTTTTAAAAATTTTTGACAGCTTTAACAAGTTTACAGGATTGTTATCAATTTTAATGTTTCATAAATCATAGCTGTAATGTTCTTAAGAATTTGTTGTTTAATATTGAATATTTAGAGTTTTTATGCAAGTTCTATTCATCACACTGGAGTATTTTTTAAAGAAATTAATCAAGAAATGAAAAATTGTACAAAAAATGACAATAAAAGTATGTCAGTCATTTTAAATTCAATGCCAGCATGACATAAATAAATAGTGCTGAGTTTAAATAAATGTAGCTATCTAATAACTTTAAAATTATAGTACACTACTTAAACCTTCCTAAGATCAGTGAAATCTTCATGCACATGTACTAAAAAATAATAAATATGCCTTTCTAAATAATTTTAACAATAAATCCCTGCCTACTAATTTGTCTAGGATTTTGTCCATACTTACTAATTTGTCCAGGATTTTGCCAATACTTACTATTCAATCTATTTAGGATTTTGCCCAACTTGGCGGACACCTTACAGAAATGCCTAAATAGTTAACGCAATAAATCCATGCTTACTAATTTGTCTAGGATTTTGCCCATACTTACTAATTTTTCAAGGATTTTGCCCATACTTACTAATTTTTCAAGGATTTTGCCCATACTTACTAATTTGTCAAGGATTTTGCCCATACTTACTAATTTGTCTAGGATTTTGCCCATACTTACTAATTTGTCTAGGATTTTGCCCATACTTACTAATTTGTCAAGGATTTTGCCCATACTTACTAATTTGTCTAGGATTTTGCCCATACTTACTAATTTGTCTAGGATTTTGCCCATACTTACTAATTTGTCTAGGATTTTGCCCATACTTACTAATTTGTCTAGGATTTTGCCCATACTTACTAATTTGTCTAGGATTTTGCCCATACTTACTAATTTGTCTAGGATTTTGCCCATCTCGGCGGACACCTTACAGAGATGTCCATACTCGTCCAGGAGAAGCTGTATGAAGGACTTGGACTCGGGTGGAGACTTGTAGCCCGAGTTGAGTTGTTTCAGCAGTTTCACTTTCATTTCTATCACAAATTCTCGGACCTGCGACTCCAGCCGTAGAAAGAGTTGGTGAGGATCTCTCGCACATAGCCTAAAACAGATATAGTAAATCTAGTAATGTCACTAAACTAATTTACTGGAAATGTTATATGTTACCTCTATGGTCCTTATCCCAATATACATGAAATGCAATACATCATGAATATTTTCCTGCCTTAATCTCTTTGCACAATATCCTTAAAAAACTCCAATACACATATAGTCTGTCAACAATTGTAGCTTTTTATCTTAAGCACTTCTCCAATTGTTAAACACACCGCAAAAATGTTAAATCCTTTAAAGAAACTACAACGTGTATGTGGATTTTACCTATGGACTAATTCCTGGGAATTACAACGTGTTCATGATTTTACCTATGGACTAATTCCTGGGCAGATTCACTGTTAGGAACGTTTGTGTCCTCCTCGTATAAATCGCCCTCCCGTCTCCCGTACAACATTCGTACGAGTTTCCGCAGCTCTGTCCAGCAGTTCTGGAGTTCCTGGGTCTCGCGGTCATGTTCTGTTTCTATTTGTCTGAAAGAAATGTACAGAAACTTCTAAAACAAACATTTAAATTTTTCCTGTTTTACTTTGAATAAAATAAATGCATTTCTTCTTCAGCAGTTGGCAGGTATGATGTATAAACAAATTGCTTTGAAGGGCCTCAAAATGATGAAGATATCAGAATTTTTCAGAGAGATCTGTACAGATAAGTTGCTTTAGAGGACTCTGTAATGATAAAGATACCTTCTCTCTGTGCAGGCCTCACAGTTACACACAGTGCCGTTCGGGGTGGTTGGTTCCGAGTCTAACCCAGGGTCCAGGAAAGGTAGCGGGGAGGGCTCAGGGGGTAAGTCTGCATCCTGTACAAAAAAAAAAACTTTGTCAGATTTTTTCAGGTTATCCAGAACATGCTATCCACAATTTTATGATTGAAACTTGACATTATAGATGTAACGACACGTATTAAAACTGTAATGAGGAAGACATTGATAAATGTGTTTGTGTTTATTCACAATGTGTAATATAACCTGAGACATACCATAAAGGAAGTGATGTCGACTTTTCTATCAATGCCCTGCTCTGTGGCCTTTCTACATTCAAGACACACCCATAAAGGTAGCTAAAATCCACAAAATTAGGTCATTACAATTCACAGACTATACACACACCTATAAACAATTGATAAAAGTAGCTAGAATCCACAAAATTAGAAGGTTATGACAATTCACAGATGCACCCATAAAGGAAGCTAAAATTTAAAAATTATAAGGCCATTACAATTTACAAACCACATTTCATTTAAAAATTAAATATTCAAGGAAATGATCATAAATTTTAATGTGTTAATGTAATTTAATTCTTTTGTTACCTGAGACAAAGAATTCTCCAAACTCTTGTTTGAACCACCTTAAAAAAAATTATAACAGAAAATATACCACCAGTCTCCCACCATCAACATAAACACCAAATTATACTACGCATGACCTTTTATAAACAATAATATCAACTTAGGAAGTGCTGATCTTTATAAATAAGCACTGAATAGTACATTTACTGAAAATCATGAAATTTTTGTGACTTATTATATTCTTGAGATGATAAATATTGTATTAAAAAGCAAAACAAAATTTTTGAGATTCCTTGTTAATCAATATTTTAATCTAATTTTAAGACAAGAATTAAATATTTGCAAGATACCTTGGCCATGTTGGCATATTGAATTGAAAAATGAAATATATTTCTTGTGAACATGGTGAATAAAAGTGATATGCAGTAATTTATAAATATATCTCCTAAGAGGTACTGACCACTGTCTCCAAATGGGAGAGGTTCGGGGGCGTCATTTCTCTCACACCCACACAAGAGACACCGTTCTTTGTCTAGGTAGGGGTTAGGTCCCCTGGACAGGGACAATAACTGAGGAAGATCACTGTCATCTTTGGCATCCATTAGTTTCTCTAACTTCTGCATAGTCTGAAATATATTATTTGACTTGATGTGAGCTTTTAAGGCAGAGAGTTACTGTAAACCAACTTTTATTCGCGACGACTTTATTTCGCGATCTACCGGGGATAAACTAGTTCGCGGCGATTAATTTTCGCAAGAAAGCCTATTTAGGTTACTTTTTAATAGACACATAGACTTTAAGAACCGGTTCGCGACGAGAAATATTCGCGATGACGAGGCTCTCGCGAACTTCGCGAAAATTTCTCGCACGCGAATAAAAGTTGGTTTACAGTATGTTAATAATATATCATCTACAGCATCCACACAGTGTATGGTTAAATAGCAAACAAACAAAAAAAATTCCATTAAAACAGACTGTCACTTCAAATCACAGCACGTTTGTCACAGCTGAGGTAAATATATTTCATTTTAGTAAAGTCCAACACAATATACAATATATATCAATATGGGGGGAAAATTCAGCCATATCATCAATTGAAGATATATGAGGGGTTTCAGGAGAATTCATACATCTCCCTCACCCTTATTTTTAAATAAAGAAATAAAAATAACGCAGTCAAAATAGCTAATCCACCCTGACCAGAAATAATGTCCATCCATTTAACCGAACCGAAACAAAAAATTTGCAAAACAATTATCTTAAAGTAAGGTGACTGTCAAAAAGTTGCGGCTGTATTTTTTTAACTTAAAACATTGTTTTGAGAAAGATCTCTTTAGAAAAATGAGATACACACATCTATATTTTTTCTTCTGTCAGTGATCATGGTGATGCATATCAAATTACATTACAAAAAAAAATCTTTAAAAATACTCAAGGAAACTGTCCCTGTTTAAATGAACATTGTCCTCATTCATAATGAACATGCATAAATTATGTATTTCAGAGTAAGCCCCATGCTGCTGCATTTACAGGATACAATGTATTCATTTGAGTCAATACTAGTTCACATCCTGAGTGCATGTCGTCATTTAAGTAATCCTGAACCCAATCACAGCTATAGTTAGCATGTATACGAGGGGTTAGAACAGCTGAACTGAAGTCAGGAATAATGTCAAAAGAGGCTGAACTGAAGTCAGGAATAAAGGAAAAAGAGGCTGAACTAAAGTCAAGAATAAAGTCAAAAGAGGCTGAACTAAAGTCAGGAATAAAGGAAAAAGAGGTTGAACTGAAGTCAGGAATAATGGAAAAAGAGGCTGAACTTAAGTCAAGAATAAAGTCAAAAGAGGTTGAACTTAGGTCAGGAATAAAGTCAAAAGAGGTTGAACTTAAGTCGGGAATAAAGTCAAAAGAGGTTGAACTTAAGTTAGGAATAAAGTCAAAAGAGGCTGAACTAAAGTCAGGAATAAAGGACAAATTCCTGCTTCATCCTTTCATGAAAATAATGTCATTCAAAGACTAAAAAACTGTACACCTATTTCAACATGTTCACCCAAATCAACTTTGGGATTCTTTTTCTATGCATGGATTTTTTTTTTACTATTGTAAAATACTAATTAATATTCCCACAGAAAGTTCTATTAACTTACTAATTATTTATTTGAAACATTCCCATTGGCATTTGAGTACGACTAATGGCCTAAATCTGTTCACTTATTTTTAAGGTGCGTAATATTATGCACCAACACAAAAGAGCTCCACTTGAACATATGCACTCAAAAAGATCCTATACCACACATTTTACTTGAAGATTAATATAAATAGCAGTGTAAGTACATGAACTACTGTGTATTCACAAAACAAATGTAGATTTACAACAGCTGAGAATTCCTTTTTAGCAGTTTTAGTTTGAACTTTTGTATTTTAGCATATCAAACATTTAAAACATTGTGTTACTTCAAACTATATTTATTTCTTATGAAATTTGACAACTAATTTCATTTACCCTGGATAAATGCTTTTTAACAGTGAATAATGATGCACAGTAAGTGTATCAATTAATTGATATTGCCGAATTGCTCAACTTATACATGTATACCTATAAGGAGATCTTATCAAAAGATCAATAACAGCCCTTCCCATATAAATCTCTGCCATTAGGTATAATATTATATACTATTCTTTCGAAGCATTTATCATGTATATAACTATTACCAATAAATGGTATCGTTCCCAGTGCCAAAAAACATTTACATTTGCCATTAGTGTAACAAAATTGGGCCAAATTTGCAATGGATCGTCAATTATAATTGGTAGCATACAATCAAATAATACATGATCGAACTTTATTCTAAAAAAAGTTAACCATGAAATTTTCAGTTACCCTTGGAAATGAAAACGATATTTCACTAATACAAATCTGTCAGTCTTAATAGAAGATACAAAAAAAATAAGGTTCGTCTGTTAGGGATTTGTTGTTTTTGGCTAATGTATAGTCTCACATATTGACCTGTTGACACATAATAAAGTTTCCAGTTTAAAAGTTTATTTTCATTTTCTATAAATGCCTCAATTATACCCGGACTGAATTAACCAGGTGTGGTATTTACAGTGGACACCCGTCTTGCAGTTGAAAATCTTAAATGAAGTTCAAAAATTTGTGGGAGAAATTCTAGATGATATCATATAAATAATTATCATTATTCTTAGATGAATATTGTATAAGATGAAATATTTTACACCTGATTGGCTCAAATAAAGTTACAATTGATTATTCTTAGTAATACTTGAAGCAGCAGAATGATCAAACACAGATTTGACAGTGGAAAAATCCATCTTGCTACAATTTGAATGGGTCCCATTTTAAGAAAAAGAGGCTCATCTTTTAAAAATATTCAAAGAAATTTTGTTTAAAAATATTTGAAAAAAAAAATTTGCGACTATCAATTTTAAAATTTTCTTTTGTCATTGACATTCTGTCATCTGTGATGATTTTTCAAGAGTCTGAGACTAATCGTAACGACACTATTTTTTGTGCTCATTCTTTAAGAGCAGATTCATACTAAACGCTAAATGTTATTTGATATATTGATAGAAAATTCCCAGTTTGTTCTATTTCAATGCTCTTTTTACCATTTACTTCAGTATCAAAGTTATTCCGAACGGATCATGAATAATAGATAGATACAAACTTGATGCTTTCTCTTTACCTTTATTTTCTAACAATCTGTTTTTTCCTTGACAACAGTAAACTACCATAAGACTGTACTATCTGATTGGGTCTAAAAATGAAATCTTATAAAACCTTCCCTTTTGTGCTTGACATGAATTTAAAGATCCATTAGCTGATGTCTGTACTGAGTAACTAAGCCTTGGGAGATTTTAGCTAACATCAATTTACCATAGAAAGCATGCACGTGTAAAACTATTAGAAATATGGATGTCAAGGACCTGTACACGATGGAAACTTTCACTATGTTAAAGATATTAGTACTGGCAATACTAACAGAAAGGGGATCACATGTACAGACACTTGCACTGCAATGTACTGGAAAGAGCCTGGCTATTTGCCAATGCTTGTACATTTTCAATAGAACAATCAAACAAAGGCACAATTCCAATAGATCTGACCAAACTAGCCTTTTTCCATTTCAGAAAGAGTGAGAAGTTATATATGTATACTGTTCACTAGGGACAGAATGGTCAAACTTCGATTGCCTTATATGGCAAGCACAAACATGCATGCACTGCTGCTAGCTTGGTTAAGTAATATGCTGTCCTGAGTTAAATTTTTATCCATAAAATCGACATACTCAGATACGTTCGTGACTTTTTATCACCAAATTTATACAGAAATACGAAGGGTATACCTAAGTCAATATAGTTCGGTATTAACATGAGAACAATCGTGAACTTGCTTAGCAAAAACTATCCAAAATTCAAACTAACGGTAGCATAGTCTGACCTATTAATTGCATTAACAACAACACTTGAAAAATAACTACCTCTGAATCAAGACTTGGTGATAATATCTCCTTTGGTGCGGGGTTTGACATATCAAAACCTAGTGACCCAGGAAAACTTTGACATGTCTGATTTGAGGTCTTGACAACAGAACTCCCCTTGTGTCGTCTCCGCTTAGCTTTTCGCTCTTCTAGGCCGCTCATTTTAATTTTTCGTCTCTCTTTCGTATATTCAGTTATTCTTACTAGTTTACTTTAAGCAGCTCTAAAGTTTTCCGTGTTTAAAGTCTTGAATCGTATCGGGGTGTTCATTTCTCCTAAACCAACATGGCGATTGATGGGGGTAACATTCCCAGCATTCTTTTCGTTGCTTCCGAAAACCGAGCAAAGGGGCATAACTCTAAATATAACAGACGAATCGCGCACATAAATCAAATGCATTAGTGATTAGACGCAAATTTATAAGTTAAATTGAAAGCAAATTATTCTCGAAATTCTAATAATTCTTATGAAATTTGTACTCTGTAGGTTTTTTTTTCTTAATGGTATGATATTTTTTAGGCACGAGAAAAGTTGTTTTTTTTTGGCAATGAATTAAGTTATTTTGCTTTGAATAGATTTATTTTAGCTTCATTTTCAATATTTAATTAAATTAAAAATAACACATGTACAATATAGTGAGGTTGGACACATAAGTTAAGTATTCTACTCATGCAATCTGAATAGCTTTGAAACATTTACAAATAATGTCTAATAAACACTTTTAAAAATCATTTAGAATTTCACTTTCTCTCTCTCTCTGTCTCTCTCTCATTTTTGGTCTCGCTTTTATATAAATTGCCTTCTGAGTCCAAAATCAAAAATAAATACAATACTTTAGCCAGACTGCTGCAAAGATAAGGATGTATATCTTACATAGTTAATTATCAGTAGCGCATCTGTAAAGAATTTACATCAAATCATTTTAGTTGTTGCTTACTCTCGTCTTTTCAACATAAATGAATTTCTGTGTGCCAATAATGTACCAGTTTGAAAGACTTCAGTTGAAACTTTTGTTTTTCGTTTTTCAATATCTGCCAACAAACAATTTGACCAAACTACATATTAATTTGTGGTGAATTAAGGTGTATACAACATGTATTTTGGATAAATTATTAGACACTCTTAACTTGACAAATTGAAAACAGGTAGACATTTGTAGACATTATTCCATATAATCAGACCAATTAACCTAATTTTTAAGAAAAAATATTCCCAAAACCCTTACGAGGCACGTAGCAACGGGGGGGGGGGGGGGTATTCATTGAAAGCCTGGTTGCCCCCCCCCCCCCCCTTCAAATTTTTGTGATATAAGGAAAATGTAGTATTGTAGGTTTTAAAAATTGGTACTGAAAGAAGTTGGTATTAAAAAAAATAGGCTTCACCCCCCCCCCTCTAAATAGGATTTTCGACTTTGGGAAACTTCCTTTTTTTCTTTTTGCTTGTCAACTTTTCAGATAAGTAATTTTTTTTCCCTCTGGCTGCCCCCTCCCCCCCCCCCCCACTTTCAAAAACGATGCTACGTGGCTGCTTATTTTGCATGTACAATGTACACAAATCCAAAACTTCCACATTTCCTTTTCATGGAATAACCCCCCACCCTCCCCCCCCCCCCCCCCCGAAATGTTTGATTGTGCCCGCACCAAAACTTTTTTCCTAGCAGGTAGTGTTTCTTACATTATTGAATTTTTCTTAATTAATAGCCACTTCTTGACAAGTCAGAATGGTATAGTAGGAAAATGTATAAGACTGGAGGAGACACATACTAAGTAATTTTATATACACAATGAATAAAATAATGCAGAATAATTTGCTGGATAAATTAAGGGTTTCAAGCCATTTTATTTAGATGTCTGTATTTTGATTTTAATATAAAAGTAACTGTTATTCCTTTGACTTCAGAGGAAATGAAGGGGAGCAGGTGATTTACAATATTGAGATAATGTTCAGCTTAGCGAGCTATTTAAAAACTTGATCCCAAAAACATTTTTGGGAAAAAAATTTGCTTCATTCTTTTTGTACACAAGCGTGGTGCCTAGCACAACTCAAAAGATTGTATGCAGTACAGTCTAGACTTGTCAATTCCAAATCAATTGGACAGTGAAAATTTCTAGGTATCAGATGATCAAGGGTAAAATAACAATGTATGGTTGGGATTTCCAAATCAATCCAAATCAATTCAACATATTCATACAGAGAAAACAATCTTCCAAGATATTGAAGTTGTACTTGTTTTCACAGTAAAATACAGTGTTTTTATATCAGTAAGAAATTAGGTATGGATTATTCTAATTTCTATAACTGAATACAAGTGTTTTTGGACCATACTGTCCCTTTTTTCATCAAGAACAAACTTAATGTTAACTGCTGAAATAAGAATGGAGTTTTTCATGTCTCCCTTTTATGAAATAAAAGAAACATGTATGTTGAAACTCATTTAATACTGTTTTTCTTTATGCAACAGAACAAAAAGTTTATATATTGTTTGTTTCTGACTAAAATTAAGACGATATGTTTCAACACTAACTCAGTCAGTACAAACAGAACTTCATGCAACATGTCTACCACCTAAACTGTTATAAAGGGTAACTGACTAGGAAAAAAAATAACTGAATCAGTAAAATGAGGCTCTCTATACAAAAATCTTACTACAGTTATTATCATTCATTAACTGGACAATGTTTGGGTTTATAGAAAAATTCATTTTTGGCTTTCTTGATCCCATGCTGAAATGAAAGGAAAAAAGTAACCTTGTTTAATAGTAAAATTTTCATTTCAAAAAAATTATAATGCTTACTACATAATTTATTTTATTTTGACTACAGATCTTTTAAATAATTTGACAAAATGCATATAATTCAATTAATAGCCCATGAAAGAAAGAGCAGCTAGATTTTTCTTTCAAAACTTTGTTTCCCTTTCCCAAAGAAAAATCACAAAAACTTTAAATTATTCCTTTTTGTATATACTATAAAAACTTATTTACCAAGAAGTACATGTATTTGAAATAAACATACAATGTATCAAGATACCTTACACATTTAAACTAAAAATTATACAGTTGCACCACACAGCATTTATACATTTAGCAAGCAATGTACTCTAACAACCAGTACATAGGTGTTAAATGATTTGGTCATACAAAAAATTCCATACAGCACTAATAATATTCATATGCAATCAATGTAAATCATCAGGCTCAATACGTAATACAACAGGTAAGTCTTAGAGTAATCAGCACTAATTCCAACATTAAGAGTCAATTACAAGAAAATATATCTTTCACATATATCAAAATCACATAACAGAGCTGAACTCTGTCAGCCATTCAGGTAAGTAATACTTTGGAGTTCCTCAGGTAAACACACGAGCAAGTAAATCAACATCATATTTATACATTATCAAACAGGACATAAATTGTCCTTCAGACAAATTATCGATAAGTTATTTCTCCTCAGAAAAATGCAGGAAAAAGTACCAGTATAATTCTATCTTATAAATAGGATAGTAATTGTCCCTCAGAGAAATTAACAGGTAATTAATTCTTTCTCAAGAAAATATAGGAGTAAGTACCAGTAAATTACTATTTCATAAATCGGACAGTAATTTTCCCTCAGATAAACTTAGAGGTAAGAACCATTAAATTACCATCACGTAAACAGGTCAGTAATTGTCCTTCACATAAACAAAGGAGAAAATATCAGTAAATTACCATCACATAAACAGGTCAGTAATTGCATGTCCTTCAAATAAACAAAGGACAAAGTACCAGTAAATTACCATCACATAAACAGGTCAGTAATTGCATGTCCTTCAAATAAACAAAGGACAAAGTACCTGTAAATTACTATCACACAAACAGGTCAGTAATTGTTCTTCATATAAACAGAGGATGCACCTGCTTCATGCTCAGCTTTTTTCTGCAGGTTGGACAGAAGCGATGATTGTCGATGGACGCTTTGATGCACGGCTTACAGAAAACATGGCCACAAACTGTAGCTGCCATCTGTCTTCCACTTTTTATAATCTGTTAAAAAATGATACATGTATATGGACACTTGCATGTATATAAAATGATGATTCCAAAAATCTTCCTTAAATGTTATAACCCTATGGGGTGGTTACAGGTAATTAATTTAACAAATGCATATTAACTTTAAAGGAGTTTTAACCAAGTTTAGACTGTTTTTTTGCCAATCAGTACTTTGGAAGATCTTGAATTTACCCCATTTTTCTCCATTATTTCTTAGAATATTCTCCCATGGAAAAAGATGGGGTCTGCTCCTTTGAGCCACAGGGGCAGGTAAAATTAACTATTGATTTTAAGTAAAAAGTCACATTTTGATGGAAAAGTAGCCAATCTGTTAACAACAGGCCTATGAACAGAAACTGCTCACCCAAGAAACTGGCTTTGCTGTTCTTCACCAGACCCCCCCCCCCTGTAAATCTATTGTGGTCCCACCCTTCCCTATCCCCTGTGATCATGATCTGTTTCATGGAAAAGCCAATCTGTTAACAACAGAGTCTACACTACCCCAGTAGGCTTCGACATAAGTTTCAGCTTTTCTGGCTTAGTGGTTATTGAGAAGATTTTTCAAGATTTTTCATAATACCTTTTTCTTTGTAGAACCTAGATTCCCTTTTGTGGCCCCATCCTATACCAGGGGTCATGATATCAACAATTTAGTATCCACATAAGTTTCAGGTTCTCTGACCAAATGGTTCTTAAGAAAGAAGATATTTTAATGACCCTACCCTATTTTTGTCTTTTCTTGATTATCTCATTCTCCACTTGGAAGGGGGCTTGACACTTCATTTTTACAATTTCATTTTTACAATTTAAACTCCCTTTCACCCAAGGATGCGTTGTACCAACTTTAAATTGGCCCCGGTGGTTCTTGATAAGACAATAAAAATGTAAAAAGTTTACAGAGAGACGCGAAACAAAATGTGACCAGAAAAGCTCATTTGAGCCTTCGGCATAGGTGAGCTAAAAAATTATTTAAGTGTGTAAAAGAATACCTGTTTTTTACTGTCCATACATATGGGGCAGCTAATGTCTTGTACTGGTGACAAAATAGAATCATTTGCACTTGTTGATGGGTTATTCCTAATTTTAAAAAAGAAAATATAACTTTAAAATACATTAACAATGTACCATGAAACATTTAAAAGAATAATTTAAAGAATATTCAGTTTTCAGTCTGTAGTATTGGAAATAGTTATTTCATTCTTACTTTATCAAAACCACAAAAAAAAAAACAATATTATAATAGAAATCAACTGG